ATAATGGAAGCTGGAGAAGTTGAAGTCATTGGAGTTTTCTCTAAGAGATCGTTTGTATAAATTTGATTATCCTTTTTAAGAATTAGGAGTCAACAACCTATAAATTATAGTATAATATTGGTGTGTATAGCAAGCTTTAGACATGTCGATGATCAAATGCATCAAAATTGTTGATCATGCTAGCCGAAGAGGTAATTGTCGTGACCTAGCTAAATATTAGTCGATATTTAGACCATTATGGATCTTTCAAGATAATTGTTCTGACGATGCCTTAGGAGTAAAAATCGAAGTGTGGACTATATGTAGAGGTTTGAATTTACTTGCAAAATTTCTCATACATCTTGGAGGCCCTAGATGTATATAAGAATGTTGAATGGAAGAATTTTCTTGGCTGCAAGTGTATCTAAGATGTTAACACGATCATCTTTTCTACGTTAAAGTTGGGGTTGCCCTCCAATCTTAATTTGTTATTGAATTGATAGATGATAAAATATATGTGTTTTTCTATCACAACTATGCCTAGACTTTTGTCCTACTAGTGTTCTAAATAAAGCTATTACTAGTCTTGACCTACTTCTAGATTGAATGACCCATTAGATGACAAGGTGACTACCATATTGCAATCATGCTCAAGAAGTTGATATGAATTATATTTTAAGGTTGTAGCAAGTATTGCTACCCAATCAAAAATTATTTCTAATTGACAATGTCAAACTTTTCCATGCAAATAACTATTAGTAATAAAGTGAGAGATTAATATCATAACTTTATTTGAATATTTAATACTCAAATAAAATAAGAGTTGTAAGAGGAGAAACTTAAGATTTTTACGTTAAAAACTCGAAAGAAAAAAAATCAAAGGGTTTGACTTAATTGAAATGAGTCAAAGGTTGCAAATGTTGTCATTTTCCATAATCAAGGGATTGATACATTATAGTAGGAATGAATCATATAAACAAATTTATAATGGAAGCATGAGAAGTTTGGAGTCATCGGACTTATTTGGCCTTCAATTATATTAAGGGTGAGCCTCATTGGGGTTAAATTGGATTTAATTGAAGTTTTTTTAGTACTATGTATGCAAAAGCCCCTGAGAAATTTTATTTCAAGATGGAATTCAGCTCAAGACCATGGATATGAGAGCTCACCCTGCCCTGAAATATAGTATATATATATATATATATATATATATATATAGATTTCACCCACTCTTGTGATTTATTATATATATATATATGGAGTTCAACCACTCATTTGAATTATAGGCTGAATGGTTCAAATAATTTACTTAATTCTAAATTTAAAGTCACCAAGGATGAAGTTGTTAGAGAGTTGAGACACTTATCACTAGTTTTAATTTAAGGAAAATTTACATACATACCACACAATTCTTATATATTTACATATCTAACCCCAATATTTGATTTTAACACTTATAACACTTTTGCAAAGATAATAATAGTAGTATTTTCTTATGTGATGTTAAATATATGAGCGCCATACATGTAAATATAAATGTTTAGGTATTAGGTACGGAAACATACAAGAATTGTGTAGTGAATGTAAACTCCACTTGAATTAATTAGGTTAAAATTGTTGGTTGTCAGAAAAAATCTTGTGCATGTGGATAAGTAATGGCTATTCTTTTAAGAATTTTATGCATTTAAATTAGAAAAGGAAAAAAAGAAAAAAAAAAACATAGTTTTCACATGAAAGCTATTTATTTATTTATTACATGGAAGCTAAATTGGCTAAGCAATCAATCCAAGAACAGTAATCTAATGAGGTGCATAACCAAGAACTTTGCAGAAACATCCAGATCTGTCTCCCGAAGCATTATAATCAATTCGATACAATAACATTTAATAGTTAATCGGTACTATGTTTCTCTTTCAAGACAAAAAAAAGAGCAATTGCATACATAACACACAATTTTATGTATGTTTATATCTAACATTTAAATTTTATCTTTTATATTTATATCACTCAAATCTTTCATATCACATTAAAAATATCACCATTTTAATTTAAAATAAATAAAATTCAATAAATAATAATAATAAAGAATTATAATTGGAAGAAAGAAGAGAAGTTGTAAACTTGCCTTGGCTGTATATCCTGAAGGAGAAAGGTTGAAGCTCCAAAATTGAGAAGACAGGAAAGGGGAATGTATATGTGTAGGTATATATGTTCCGGAGGTTGCGTGCAAATTATTGGATCTCCTTTGTTAATGCCGTAAACAAAGAAGTCCGGCGATTCTTCTCTATTTTTCCCATTTGCCGTTTCGACATATGTGCCGTCGAAAATTTGTAGGGTTTCTGCGCCGTAGAGAACATGGCATGTGAACGGCTTTGCCACCACATTGTCTATATTAAGCCGGAGGGAACGAGGGGATTCGTAAAAATATATACATTTGTTTATATTTTGTTTATGGGAGATGTTCAAGATCATTAATGTGCTTGAAGGGTAAAATTTGACATGATGCATTGTAAGAAATTCAGTAAATATTAATTTTTTTTAAAAAAAAAATTAAATGATCTCTAAATCATGAGAAGTTGTTGCCAAAATGATTGTCATGGTATGGAGATATCTCTAATTTTAAAGTTGTTTAATTTGGGTGACTCAAATGACCGAAATTAGGCGAACTAAGGCAAATAAATTTTGCTATTTGTGACCATTGTGAATCAAGCTAGACATTAACAGTCATCATTATCATTATCACTGTCAGTAGCGATGGGTGCTGCCCGAAATTGATGTGAAGCAATCGGTAAATCATAATAGTATATGGGAGATGTTCAAGATCATTAATGTAATTGAAGGGTAAAATTTGACATGATGCATTGAAAGAAATTCAGTAAATATTAATTTTTTTTTAAAAAAAAATTAAATGATCTCTAAATCATGAGAAGTTGTTGCCAAAATGATTGTCATGGT